TTTACTAGGAGCTTCTTGAATAACGTAGAAGCTGAATCTCAACTGAATTTGGCTGCTCCTATACTTAAACATGATGCCTTTTTTTAAGGGATTTCTTCCAGGAAGGGTGCAACATGATGATGAGTGGCGAACTGTTTTTGTACTTAATAAGTATCCTAGCAATGACACAGAGGTTGAAGTCAAGCAGAAGAGATATGCTAACAATGTAATTGTTACATCAAAGGTGGGTGTCATTGAAATGCTCATATACATCAATGTTTAATATAGTGATGATAATTATGTTAGTCTTCCTACCCCAGTTTTTTTCAAAACATGGTCTTCCTAAAGGTGGCAAATTTTTTTCCTTTTTCCTGAGTGGATCACCTTTGGTCTACTCTATAAAGAGGGGCCATCATTTTTTTAATTCTACAGTATTTAAAGAGTTAAACTAATTTAAAAAAATCGAATTTTAGTAAAGTTGAATTACGATATTCAAGTTGTATTTTTTGTAATGCACAGTGAAATAGGTCTTATAAAGCTTCTACTTACAGCCAGATAAATTTTGAGGAAGTTCTCTTTTCAAGTGATAGATAACAATAATATGGATGTTTTTTCTTGGTATTTTCCTCTGTTGTCTTGGTTATCAAATGTATCGTAGACCCTAATGAATTTTTTTTTATTTCAGTACACAATATTGAATTTTGTCCCAAAGAATTTGTTTGAACAGTTCCGTAGAATTGCAAACTTTTACTTCCTCTGCATTGGTGTGATTCAGGTAAGGATAAATAGCTTTCTTGTTCAAACCATGTTCTTGAGACCATACATTCTTTTCATTGCTTAATATAATTACCTATACCAATCACCTAAACTTTCTTTTCAACCTGGAAACAAAAGTGTGTTAAAATGTAAATTTTCCCATTTGATCCAAATCAATTTAGTTAATAGAATTTGTATCTGTTTGAACAGAAACTATGGCAGGTCAGAAAATGTATATCAAATTTATTAGCTTGACAATGTTTGTATTAATTGAATTTAAAGGCTTAATAATCTTTTTTGTTTATAATTTGATAAGATATTTCCTCTTATCAGTTTTCTCCTGTAACTAGCAATCTATTGCCTTGACATTACATGTTTGTGTAACACAGACATGTCACTACGTTGACAACTGTATTAGCACTACTTCCTCTACTAGGGAGGAAATAGTGGCCACTGATTTATATGTGCAGTCAATTCCTTTCACCTGACTCTCAAGTATATCTGGAAAATTTGCAACATTTATTTGGCTTTTTTATATATCAAGTTACTATCAAGGCAATGGTCTATGCGCAAACATGTCAAGAATTCCATTCCTTTTTCTCAGCTTCTAGACTTCATGGTTTATGTAGTGACAACTCTGACTTCCTGCCTATCCTGTTTGTGTTGTTCAAGTGGGCCACCACTGCACCAAACAAATTGATGACAATCAGCACAACAAATATCGCAGAAGGAAAATACAGATCGAATTCCATCCACCCTCACAATCTTGCAGTTAAATCTATCATTCCTAAAAACTTAAAAAGTGCTTTGAACAAAATAATCCCCAAACTGGTACAATTTTTTTGCACCTTCCACTTATTTCATGCAAACGCAACAAAACTTAGGTAACTTTCAATTAAGATGACTACTAACTAATGATCAACTCAGAACTTTCAAATATGTATGGGCGAAAACTTGCAAAACTTGTCCTTTCATTCATAATGACTAAAAATTTTTGGTACCCAAGCCATCAAAATTACTGATAATTTCAAGTGCACTTCTGCCAATGCCATATATATCATGACTTGCACTTATTGCAAAAAGGTATACATTGGCAAAACCTGAAGAAGACTAGGTGGCCAATTCCTAGAGCACCTTGGTGATGTAGAAAGAAGTAAAAAGATGCTTCCAAACCAGCAGCTACATACTTTAATCTCCCTAATCATTCTAAGAAACATGTGGCAGTCTGCATCCTTTCCTTACATCAAGGTGGTTCACAAAACCGCCAAACTCTAGGACAAAAATTTCTTACTCAAATAGGCACTCTTAATCCCTATGAATATCAATGAACATTTTTTATTCATTCAATTAATATATTCTTGTTTTGTTATTATACCATGTTCCTACCAGCAGGGTAGCTCTATTTTATGCATGTAAACACACATGCAATCCACAACAATTAAAATGTCAGCTTTGCAGTGGCAAATTGACATTTATTTATCAACTCAGTTGATGAAACCAAATGATCTTGTTATACTCCCTTCTGATGTAGCCCACAGTTTCTTAGAAAGCTTCCTCCCTCTTTAGGAGGTAGTGTTCACTGTAGAGATCTGGCCTTCCAGCACAGATTGTGATGTGCTTAAATTTTCATCAAAAACAGTATGTCCCAGACAATGACCTTCTTTTGATGTTGCAGCTCTTAATTGACAGCCCTGTGAGTCCAGTGACCAGTATTCTTCCTCTGGTCTTTGTGATAACAGTCACTGCCATGAAACAGGTGTGTAAAACACTATGACTATTGCCCAAAGGGCTGGTACATACATGTACCACTTATGGGTAAACCCAAAATAATTTAGATTAAAAAAAAAGACAGTGTAAGCTACTGTCATAGCCACAGTAGAATGGCACTAAATGGTAGACTGTATTAAGGTAGTGGCACGGCCAGGGTCCAAAACTACAACCAGGTGCTCACCACTACAACTGAAAATGGAATGTAGCAGACCAGAATTTTGAGTTTCTTGTGAGTGTTCTGAGTGCACTCATTTTTATATTCTAGGCTCTGAAGCAAATAATGAAGGAAAAAGAATACTTTGGATCCTGATAAAGTCTGCTGAAAACACTGTCATTATTTTTGGCCTCTTTTGGCTCCATAGTGCATGATATGCGACATCACCTATATCCAAATAGTGTGTTCCTTTATGGCAATTCCAAGGTTTTCCATTTCCACTGCCTCTACTGCCAGATAGCTTATTCTCCTCCAGGAAATAGAAAGTGAAGCTTCAAGAATGCATGTGTATGGCAATCTCCTGAAATCAATAAAATAGATCATCATGTCATAAGCTCATGCCCTGGTTTTTCAGCATTTTGAACCCTTTTTTTTCATTGAAATGGGCTTATTCCCTAGTAGGTCTCCTATCAAGGACAAAGCATTCATGGCACATTATAATTGTATACCCAATGGTTGATGTTTTTACTTTAAGGGTTATGAAGACTGGCTTCGTCATAAGGCAGATAGAGAGGTTAATAACAGACCAGCCAAGGTCATCAGGCAAGGACAGGTGGAAGATATCCCTTCCAAAAATGTCAAGGTGAGGTGCATGTATTTACTGGTTACTTAAGCTGAGTACCTCAAGAAGTGCAGATCAGAGAGCTATTTTAATGACAACAAATGACTATTTTGTGATGGGTTAGTCAAATTAATTTAAATTTGGTTTACTAGGTTTCAGATAAGGAAATTCATGTATGAAATAAAGTGAGATGCTAGTTGTCTTATCCCATGGGTGGGACAAAGGAAAAATCTGAGTTCCAGTGTCAACTTGAAACCCAGACCTTCATGTTCCTCACTCTTATGCCCTACCACTAGGGAGCAGAGAATTCTACCATAAGGTAGACCATTACTAGGTACATGCAATGTACAAATTAAAGTTAGCAATATAACATGCTAATATTTCAGAGTTATAAAAACCTGAAAAATCCTAATTAAAAATAAAATGAAAACTTCTGTAACAATAGATAGCTCATGTATTTTGATACATGATAATGAATTATAATTGAAATTATAGACATATATTATTCAATATCATTCACTAATTTAATGATGCATAATGAGAGTGGCATTTAAGGTTCTCTTTAGAAGGCAGATACCAGCACTAGAATACTACAGTAGTGTCACTACCTGCCTAGCTTTACATGTTTGCCTGGTTACTTTAATAAGGATGCCCCTAGCACTTAATTAGGTAAAGAACCTGTGGACATTGTTATCTTGGCAGTATGCAGGATGTGTGTTGTATGTTCTCAAGTAACTCCTGGTAGAGCTGTCCGTAGCTGGGTCATAGTGCATAAGAGTGAAATGTTAAGGACTTGGATTTGATCTCTCCTGCCACTCGGATTTCTTTTTGTCATATGCTCATGACAAAAGAAATGACAGCTTTCTTATTCCAGCTGTTGATATGCTCATAATTTAATCTGTCTTTTTTTATGTTCCCTTGAATTTTATTCAACATTCAATTTTAGTCTGCAAGAACAACCTGATAATATTTTAGTACAGAAAAAAGATACTTTTTGCCCTATTATCTTTACCAAACAAAATAATGGAAAAAAAAGGAAAAAGATACTCTTAAAAATGTTTAGATTGATAGGATTTTATTTCAAATTAAGGGCCCTCGTCAAAGGTATGATCTCTAAATAATGTCAATACACACATTGTGATTAACTAAGGTGCTGCTTATTTCTGTGTTAAGAATGTATGCAACTATTAGTACTCTCTGAAGTGTAATGTACTCTATATCATGTAACAATTAAGAAAAATCCAGTTTTTAAGTGTTCAACAATACTAGTACATTAGTCTTATTCCTCTTGTTCCTCTCGTTCTTAAATCAGTGGGGAATCAAGTAAATTTTTCCTGACAGCTTTTAAAACTGACATCTTATGTGATTATACTTTTATCATTACAATAATTATTGTAGTAGTAATGAACATTACTGATTACTTGTATGGGTGTGTGTAGGTTGGTGATATTGTTCAGGTATTAGATGATGAAGAGATTCCTTGTGATCTTGTGGTGCTGTCCTGTGATGACCCAGATGGAACATGTTATATCACAACTGCAAATCTTGATGGTGAAACAAATCTCAAGGTAACTGGAGCCCTCTTGCAGTAATTGAAGATAAACTTTTGCATGCAGTATTTTTTAGTACTTGTAATTTAAAAGTGACCCAAGATATTGAAAATACAGCCCTGAACAAACTTATATAAACTCCACCATTCAGGTGAAGAAGACAAACCATGCATATTAATGGTATTTTTTTTGCAGGTGCGTAATGCATTGTCTGATACAGCAGGAATGCAGTCTGCTGAGCAGCTCTCTCATTTGATTTCACATGTGGAATGTGAGCACCCAAAGGAAGATTTGTACAGGTGAGGACAATAGAATTATAACCATACATGTAGTTGTGTTAAACAAAGGGGAGCACATCCTGATCAATTTGGGTCTTGATGTGATTGTTGTCCATTGTATAAGAATGTGGGTATACAGGTAACAATTGACAGTTATTGGCAACAATTTGAAATGAGCAAGATTCTCTCCAAATGGATTGTGTTCCCATTAAATTTTAAATGCGACAAATTTTCAACTTTGTTGTTTAATTCTGCTCTTGTTGTGGACTGACTGCTTACAGTCACTCTGAGGACTATCTGCTCCTTGGTGATCACACCAGAAATTTGTTAGTTATAGTGAATTGATACAGGCACATTTCCATCAATTGAAAGAAAGGATTTATTATTAAGTAATTTACCTCTGATAAACTTAAACAATACATGTATGAGAAATATTAAAAATGACAAGCTTAATTATTATTTATTAACTAAATATCATCAACTTTTTACACCCAATAATAGGTATGCATATTCTCCATACTGTTCTCTATACATTGCCTAAATTGCTGAGAGGGAGAATTTGATTTATGGTCGAAAGTTTCTGTTGTTGGTGATCATTTACTTTATTCTTATGAGCTCAAAGTGTGATTCAGGGGTGACACTGCATGGAGAAATTAGATGCCAGCTACTCCTATGGGCTAAAGGGTTAAAGGAGAAGCAACTGCTACTGACAAACCCCCTTATTGTATAAGTTTTCATAATTTTGTGTTCTTTAAAATAAGATACTGCAATGTACATACAAGTACATATTATACATTAATTTTGCTCTAGACATGATGCTAGTTATTAATTAAAAGTGTAATTGAAATTTAGTTTCTCAGGTCGAATGGTAGTGACACCCAGAGGGGGTGGAGAATCAGTACTCAAGTGAGATTTTGCACATTTGTACTGAAAATATTCAACTGTGTATTGTAATTAAGGGATTGTAAAAACAGGCTAACCAGGACTGTATCAATGAGGAAGTACTGAACAACAGTCAACTGATCAATCAATATAAATGTTAACTTACATGTTCATGTATCTATCCACCCAACTTAGTATCATATGGTCCATATGCATACATGTACAGTTTATATGTGTTTTTTAAAACGATGTATGCTACATGTATGTGATATGGGTATGATAATAGGTACCTGCTCCATAAGCTGTTAAAGGTTGAGGTATGAACACCTTGAACAATTTAGCACTGATGAAAAAATAATCTTTTGGTTACAAATTAGTTGACAAGGTGTGGATGGTACCAGCCATTTTGTATATACTGGTGGTAGGCTTTGACCTTTCTCTGAGAGTTAGGTACTTTTATAGCATGTATTAGAATCTCTATAAATTTGTTATGTCCATGATCAGTAAATATAGTATTAACAAAGTTTTGGAAAAAGATTGAAGTGCATTTAGTATTAATAACTTATTATTTCTTTAGGGCCTTAGGTCCACAGAATCTGCTTTTGAGAGGAGCTCGGTTAAAGAATTCCACATACACTTTTGGTAAATGAATACTATTGTTAAGTCATATCACAAATAGTAAATGTCTCTTTTTGAGTTTCCTACTCTTTGTCACTAATGTAATTTGCACCATTGTAGGTGTTGCTGTCTACACTGGCAGGGAAACAAAGGTAAGAATCAAGACATGTGCGATGGTAATAATCCTTAGGATCACAAATATCAATTATTAAATTGTAATTTTATCAAGAATTTTGTTTAATGATTAATTTTGGTCATCCTTAGTGTGACATTTTGCTGTTAGTGACATAGAGGCTGACTTAGGATGCACCATATGTTATGCAATGCCCATTGTAGCAGTATGTTGAAATTTTGGGATATAATTATATTTTAGATAGGAATGGCTCACAAACATAATAATCACTTACTGGTACTTAAAATTGAGTATTATAGATTGCTTTATTAGAATTATTGTTTAATGAAATCATTACTGAATGAAAAGATTTCTTTAATTAAATCCAAAGTGAAATATGATTAGTCCATAAAATTAATTTCTCTCTCTTTTAAGATGGCCCTCAATCAGCAGCAAGGGGCTCACAAGTTTTCAACAGTAGAGAAGTAAAATATGAATTCTCCTAGTTTTTCATCAACATGGATCATTTTGTTTTCTAGTTACTTAAAGAACCATTTACACATTTATGACAAAAGTAATGTGATAAGTGTATGTTAAGGGCCTAGCAATTACATATGTAAATGTCTGTACCCAATACACTGTCGATTACAGCCACTAATGTTCTGTTAAGTACATTTATTATCATATTGATACCATGACTGAATTAGTATCATGCTCTTTCCCTGAGTCTGTATTGTTATCTTCACTCCAGCCGTGATCATGTTCACCCTAGGATTAGATGTTGACCTAATTGTTTTTCTAAATACAGCAGTTAATAACTTACCCTCTCAATGGTCAAATTCACCAAGTACATGCACCAAGATGAGACCATAAAAAGTATATCAAGCAGAGTTAGATTTATCATTGTAAGAACTGCATAAGCTGATATAAATCTAGCTTATTATCATGGTTGTGAAAAATGAGGTGACTTTTTTTGTATGTGTGTTGCAGGACAATGAATGTGTTCCTGATTGTTTTCCTTATCGTGCTGCTGAGTCAAGGAGCTTTGTGTGCTGGTCTGATGTTCTGGAAACAAGGTACACCATCAGGGAAGCCATCCTATATCTATCAAGAAGAACTTAAAATCACAGTAAGTTTATCTGTGCTTTTTGTTTTTAGTATGATTTTTGATGATGAATAATTTTTTCAGTTGACAATGCTTTTTCAGTTTGTATCATGAAGGCTAAATGTTTTATCATGAAGTAAATTTAATTTGACCCACAGCTCACCTGTGAAAATCATTGCTTTAATTGATTTTCATCTGCAGGTGGAATGAAAGTTATTGCATTGAAAATTATTTTTAGAGCCCTCCACGGGAAAGAAGAACACTCCAAAATGTGCCTGCTTCTCAAGCTATGGCTTCATAGCTCATTTGGTAGTAGAACCCAATAAGCATATCTGGGAGGCACAAAATCAAATCTCATTGCAGCCTAAATTTTTTCGCTGCAATTGCTTAAAATGCAGCACACTTGTGAGGATCACAGCTTTATACTATGTTGAGTTAATACAATGAAAAAATAAAAATATAAAGAAATTTCCTCCACCTAAATCTGCCCCAAGAAAACTCTTTACTTTCCCTTTAAGTTCACAGGTTCTAATGGTGTACTGGATACATTTCTTGTATTTCTTATTCTGTACAATTACGTCATTCCCATCTCACTGTATGTTACAGTTGGTAAGTTTCCATTATTTGTCATTTAATGTTGCTGATTACAAAAAGTAAACTATGTTGCTGATTACAAAAAGTAAACTAACTAAAGGTACCTGTTGTAAAGTGATCATCTAGATAAGGGCAAAATAAGCAGTCACCTTATTGTTGTCAGTTGTGGTGGATATCTATTAATTAGAATGTAAATTCTTAGTTTAGCTGCATTTTAAATTTAGTGATTAAAAAACTAATTAACTACAATGTAATCCTCAGATTTTTATCAAAGACTGTCAAAAACACAGATGCTCAAAACTAAATAACCTATAATTTCATCTTTATGTTAATGTTTCTGATGTTAGATTGATATGTCTTATTTAGCCTGTATACATGTTGCCATTTGTTCTCACCTAGAGCTTCAAAAGTTTATTGGGGCATTGTTTTTTGCTTGGGATCTTAAAATGTACTTGGAGGTGAGAAGAAGATTGTTTCAAGAATTTGTGTGTCAATTTGTTGCATGTATTAGGGTTTTGAATTCATTGTAGGTTCTTATGCAGGTTTATATATGTCAGCAATGTTCTTGCATAACTAGTAGTTCAAATTTTTAAGCTATGTGAATGTAATTTTGAAATGTTACATGCATCTTGATACTGTAACCACCAACATAGAAACTTAGTAAAGAAACTATAAAGTTTGGTGATTTATGTTGCTAAGTTAGCTTTCATCAGAGTGATAGGAAGCTTCTTTCAAAAGCTTGTTTGTTCAACTGTTTGTTTGTTTACCTGTTTAGGAAACAGATGAGCAGGCCATTGCCAATACATCTGACCTGAATGAAGAACTAGGACAGGTAGATAATTGATGAGTTTTGTTAAGTTATTGTCTTTTATTCTGATAATTCAAAATAAGAAGCCATCTGAACTCTCAAGGTTGTCAAACTATGTGTGAATTCTATGGATTTTGGTTAACAGCTTTCTCCAGACAGTAGGAATTAGAGAGATTTAATGATTGGTATACATTATTTTCCTAGATCGAGTATGTGTTTACTGACAAGACAGGAACACTTACTGAAAATGATATGCAGTTCAGAGAATGTTCTATAAATGGTTACCAGTATGTGGTGAGTAATCATGCAACATGAAAATCTTTGCTAACTTTGTTTAGAGTAAGGGAACCTTTGTCTAGAAATTAATATTGTTTACATAGTTACATGATCAATCGTGCTTGAAAAACAGTTTTTTTTATAATTTAAATTTTCAGCTTGGTACAGACTTATCTGTGTCTCAGTTTTTTTATTATTATTAAACTATGTAAACCAGTTTATCCTGGGATTTAGCTTCATTGATACTTTTTAATGGTGTTATTTTGTTTGTGTGTTTTCTTTTCCAGGAGTTAAACAGTCAGTTATTTGTGGCAGATCAAACAGATGGTGCTTGTGTTTCTGCTCAAAGTGTTTCTGTAGGTTGAAGTTTATTTGTAACTTCCATAATTTTAATGAAAAAGATTCATCCAATAAACTTGGATTCCACTAACCTGTATGTCCAGTGGAATTTGTGACTGTCTAATGTAATTTTATTTTGTTGTTAACTCTTATCAAGACACCTACGTAACCAAGAATAACATGTTTGTGCTTGAATGATTTTATTTTCAGTCAGAAGTTATGCAGTTCTTCTTGGCACTGTCCCTTTGCCATACTGTTCAAGCCTCCAAGGAGACCAATCAAGATTCTATCTATGATTATCGGTACCAGGTAACTGTGATAATCGCTAATTATTTATTTATTTATTTAATGGATTTGTACAAGTACAAGTACAGGTGCACAAGTACAAGTAAGCTAAGTTTAGTAAAAAGAACAAAGACATTCTCTACTCTTTGATTAGAAAGCAGAGAAGTGTGTACAAGTCACAGGTTTTTTTACTTTCTTAAAGTCACATTCTCTTAAATTTTTATTTGTCTAGTGCCAGTGACTTAACTGGCAGCTAAAGGCTCTATTTTTTTCCCTTACAAAGTTTTTCTCTTTTAGAAATTAATTAGTATTCCTTTACAAGTGTCTTAAAGTTTAAAGGCTTGTTTTTTGAGATTTTGAAAAATATTGTGTTTCTCATGCAGGCTTCATCTCCTGATGAAAAAGCTTTAGTGGAAGCAGCTGTAAGGTGAGCTGTTATTAGTCTGATTATATCATTTTCCTTCCCTGTTACACTGCCTCTTGCTCTCTGACCCTCTGCCCACCCTCTCACCCCCCCTACCCACAAACTCCCCTCCCCGTCACTTCATAGGTTTCTTCTCTGTCCTTCCTCATTAGGCTAGCAGGATTGTGTAGTTTCTTCTCTTTTTTTTCCTAAGCCCACTATATGTGGGGTCAGTGACAGGCTGCTGCTTGTTTGACTCATCTATTTCATTGGTACTGTTTTGTTTACAGATTTGGAGTCACCTACCGAGGAAAGATCGGTGATGATATCGAAGTCAAAGTTGATGATGTGATTGAAAGGTTTAATGAAACTTATTGGGTTGTGGTTCAGAGAGATTTGTTAAGTGAAGCGTAAATGATCTAAGAGCTACATCTGCAGTATTTTTTTTTATTCCAGGTACACACTTCTTCATGTTCTTGAATTTGATTCAACAAGAAAAAGAATGAGTGTTATCGTTAAGTCACCGAGAGGTAAGTGAACCTAAGATTTATGCCTCTTGAAGAAAATATGTGATTCTCTTGAAGACAGTACTGTGATTCTCTTGAGGACAGTGCTGCAATTCTCTTGAAGTCGATGTTTGTACTAGATTTTGTCGGTCAATTTCTTTACCTTAACAGGAAAAATTTCCGTTATCATGGTCGCTTTAAGAATAAGCTTCGGGGAAAATTTCAGAAGTAGTTTTTTATAGGGCTCTAAGGATCAGGACTTAGGAATATTATGAGCAAGTCATCTCTGTAGTTTATCACAATGCACTCACATCGACATGTCCAAACTAGAAATTAGCTAGTTTTCATTTTAAAGTTTACTTCGTTGTCTTTGTTCCAGGTGAGCATGTGATGCTAGTGAAGGGAGCTGAGACTGCTGTGCTGGATCGACTGGCGTCTGGACCCAAAGATATTACTCTTGATCATGTGAATGAATATGCCGAGGTGTGTGTGATAGTTGAACTAGCTGATGTCACTTCCGAGATGATGAATCAATCAACCTGTAGTCAGCTGTGGAATAGCGCTACCACATCTGAGTTTAAATATTTTAAAGTTGCTATTGGTATTGAGTTGTTTTCTTGCGGTTAACAGAAAGGACTGCGGACATTAGCTGTTGGTCGTAGAGTGCTTTCTGGAGAAGAATATGTTGTTATTAATGCTAAGGTGAGTGCTTCATTTACTAAAACCAGCAGTATCATAAACCCCTTTCTGAAAATAACAACTTGAAAAGGTTGCTTATTATTAAGCAACGTTATTAATTGAATGACATAGAGGAGATGAATTATAACCAAGAGGAAACTTGCCCTTTGCTAGCTTTTTTTAATAGGGAAACACCCAAACTATCAGTACCAATCTGTTTCTTATCCCTTTATGATTTGTGAATATTGCTGATTGTTTTGCAATTTAGATCAATAAGGCCAAACAAGCAATTCTTGATAGAGAAGAACAAGTATGTATACACGTCTGTTGTTGTATTTGAACTTAAACGTGTTCTGAAAAGCCTCTATTGATGTGTAAAAATCTAGATCAATCTGCGAGCTTCCACAAATTGTTCAGGAGACATTGAGCCCTCATTTTTATAGCACTACAAGCTAATTAAAAAGAAAATGCCCTAAAGTGGATCTTTGTTTAAAATTGTAGTTACGCCTTTGCGTCTCAATGTTTGGGTTATCGTTCTTGTAAGGAACGTTTGTTTGTGCCTACTGATTCTAATTGCATATTTTGGTTGATGATGCAGCTTGCACGTGTTTATGATGAAGTGGAGAGAGATTTTCACATCCTTGGAGCAACGGCTGTTGAAGATAGGTATGTTAGTCGTAATTACATTTGGTGCAACCTGTGAACATACAGTAGTTTATTCAGAGCAAGAAGATGGGTAAGTTGAAGGATTCAGTAAGATTCATTAAGGAAATTAGAGCCTTTTTGTCAAACTTCAGGTAGGTTGACTAGACTTATCATACAATGTTTTCCCCCTGTTTGGTTCCAGATTGCAGGATGGAGTTCCGCAAACAATAGAAGCCTTGCGTGAAGCAGGGATCAAGGTAAGCACGACAGTGAATATATGCATATATTTCATTTCTTCAAGAATATGTACCAGTACTTAACTCTAAATTTCTCGCTATATTCCTACATTTGTCTCGTGGTCCTTGAGGTATATTTCGGTGTTGCTGTTTATTTTGATGCCTGTTTTTTTTTACAGGTGTGGGTTCTTACTGGAGACAAGCAGGAAACAGCAGTCAACATCAGTCACTCATGTGGACATTTCAAGGTTTCATATACAAACCTTTTTGTACAAAACTTACATTGACAGTGATGGGTCTTTTGTGATTACCATGGTGAACTGTTGGTGATGCTACACAAAGTAATAATTGTTAGCGTGGCTTTTAATAATAAATTGTTGAAAATTGGTCGGTGATAATTCTTCCTCTACGTCTATTGTCGGGCCATGGAAAGTTGTCAGTCGTATGAGGAAGGTTATAATGTAATTAAAATACTGGTTTTCCATTCGCTTGACAGACAAAGCGTGTTTCAGTTTTACATTCCCTCCGACCAATGTTTCGAGTTGTAATGTCCCAGAGTGTTACCTTTCACTGCCTCTGGTGATGTTGCGTATCTTAGAAGGTCTAAGATCTGCTTCGTTGTCTGGGTCTATGTATTATGATTGGTACACCCAATGTTACCCATTACCAAAGATTGAGTGGGGGATTGAATGGTTATAAGATTGTGTTCACGAAATGGTCGTCAGACATGGTGCTCCTCTGCGACAGCTGTGGCTGGAATTGGACAACTGTGACAATTCTGTCTCTGTCATTTGTAGGCGGGAATGGAAATGATGTTTGTCACAAAGAAGCAGTCGGAGAGGGAATGTCAAGAAGAGCTTGTTAGCTGCCGTGACAAGTGGGTAGTTTTAATGCTGGAAAACTGTGTCATATGTGATTTACTATTCGTGGCACGTTGTGACAGATCATTTTTCTTATTTTTATTTTGTGCTTCGTGGTTGCAGGATTCAACGCCGACCGCCCACAGACAGTAGGCAGTATGCTTTAGTTATCGACGGTGTTAGTTTGTCTCATGTTCTTCGGGGCTGTTCAGGTAAGCGCAGTTACCTCATATCGAAAAGTGTGTTTCTATTGAAATGAAATTAGGAGAGCGGAGACAATTGAAAATCCAAACTTGCTAACCCCAGGCTAACAGGAGTTGGGTTTCGAGACCTTCATAGAAGGGGTACATTAAAATTTATTGGTGACTCTCTGAGCGTCAGTCATCACCAAATCCTTATTTCTATTTGTCAGTCTATTTCTGTTTTAATAATTACAGAAAAAAAGAAGTTGCCGCAAAGCTTACAGATGTTACAATGTCGGGGGGAGGGGGGGGGGGGGGTAGATCATGTAAAGAATGGTCAGCAACACCGCTTTTATGACTTGTGTAGGAGTAGTCTTGAACAGTTTATTTCATACTAAGAGGCAATTCTTCGTTTAAGTCGTAGTTACCAGGCTTCGTTATGTGTAAAATGGCATGTACTTGTTTTTTGCAGAATTGTTTGAAGGAATCTGTCAAAAATGTGTTGCTGTATTGTGCTGTAGAATGTCGCCTTTACAGAAAGCTCAGGTATCTTGCGTAAATAATAGTGATAATGATGAAGATAGACATTTGCCTTTTTTTTCAACCTCAGCATCACACGCAAGTTCTCAGTTCATGAGTGTTTGCAAAGACGTGATAGGCTTGGAAAAAAAGTTCACGAAAGATTTTAACTCAAGAAGCAAAATTTAGTCTCTAACTTGAAACTTACCATAAAAGATTCAATAAAAGTGATCACCAGTTGTTTCTATTTTGTCGACTGTTTATTTATTCGAATTATTTTACTTAATGTTATACTCAGTCCGATCCTGAAAACGCCAAGGCTTTGATAACAATGCAAGCAGCGTCACCACCAGATTACATGATGACATAATTTGTCACCAGTTTTCGACTCCCGTAAAAGCGGACACCCTCGGTGGGGGGAGAAGATGTAGAAGATGTAGTGTCTGTAATAGCGGGGTACGAAAGAAAAACAAAATTGTTTTTTCTCTAAACATATGAAATAATATGTAACTACGCAAACGTGACTTCATCAACTGGAATAAGATCCGGCCGCAAGAAGGAAGTTCTCATGTTCGCACCCATTTGGTGAATGGTTTCTTTGTTTTCCTTCATCGTGATATCGCTCTATATTATGTGAGTCAGGATTTTTGACGAATTACCTTAGTTTCCACTATAGTGAGAGAAAATAACAAGTGAAATATCGCGCTTGGAGGGGGGGGGGGGGCACGAAAGTGTCCGCATTTCCGCATTAACGAGAGTCCGTAAAGACGGGAGTTTATTTCAGTCATTTCTTTATGAGTTTCGCCGAATAGCGGGGTGTCCGTAATAGCGAGGTATCCGCAGGGCGAGAGTTGATTGTATGTAGTTTTTTGCTCTCTGGAATATCAAAAGAGAATGAGTTTTGTTTCCTATGACGAAGTCTGTGTTTCTGTTTACAGATTGTCCAGTTAGTAAAGAGCTCCTGTGAGAAGCCGGTGACTCTCGCCATAGGTGACGGTGCTAATGATTGTGGTATGATTCAAGAGGCTCATGTGGGTATCGGTATCATGGGAAAAGAGGGTCGGCAGGCGGTCAGGACAAGTGACTACGCTGTGGCTAGGTTCAAATTTCTACGGAGGATACTGTTGGTGCATGGCCACTGGTATTATGTTAGAGCTGCAGTTATGGTGCAGTACTTTTTCTATAAGGTAACTTATTTTGCTTTGGGTAAACCTTGTTAGGTCCATGTGCACACAGCTACAGGTGCACATACAGTGATTCAAAGAACATAAGCAATGGCCGCCTTGTGGGCAGAGTGAAGTGGTCGTTATAGAAAGGTGGCTGCGTTAGGGAGAGGTTGGGTTACAATATCACAAATTTTATTTCGAAGGCTAGAACTTTTTATTTATTTATTTATTTTAATATACTTTTCCGAGGAGGTTAATGCCTAAAGTGATCAAAATATATTTATGACAACGAAATAAGAAACTAATTATCGAGTGAAGCCCAGTGACTACATTTATCGTGCATCGTTCGGTTTTAGTCTCGAAGGCGAATAATTTTTTCTTCCGATAAATAGAGCTGACAGCGATGGTTTGCTCGAGCGAATTGTCACAGCGCCGCTCATCAGTCGGTGATGAATTGGCTTTGGTTGAGAGATTTATTTTTGTACGATTAGGACGCGCTTTAATTATGGTTGCTGGTTTAGACAGGTGGCCTTTTTTGATAGAAAACAGGGAAGTGGTTGGTGAAAAATGGTTCAACCCGTATTTGTAAGAGTGTGTGATGCGCTCTATCTAAATTAAAATTGGAAGGTAAAGGAGTGGTTCGCCCTTCCACCCAACCTATGTATTTTGACGTGATCATTCTCTGTGTGCCTGAAAATGTTGATAAAAAATTATGTTCTTCCAACTAATCGTATTGATCTTACCGAGTCTAACAAGTGCTTACTTCCTCGTTGTGACACTCCTCGGTTTAAAGTACCGCGAGTCCAGTATTTACACGGCAAACCCCGAGTCCTTCAACTTGTTGTAAACTAACATAGCGTTTTGTTCTATTTATCAGAATGTGTGTTTCATCACACCACAGTTTTTCTACGCATTTTTTACCTCTTTCTCCGGTCAGGTGCGTATATAAATGCAACATTTGAGTCCTCATTGAATAGGCCACATTTTTTCCGTAGTCTGAAGAGGATTATTTTGTTTATGCATAGCATGTGCGACAGGAAACATTATCAGAATAATAGTAGATGCAAAGTTACGCTTGCAGCAGCAATCAGCCAGGCAGGGCTTGCTGTATAAGCTATCGCTTAACTTTGTGTATGATTTGTTCCTCTTTGCAGCCGTTGTACCTCGCATTCTTTTTAACCGCTTACAACATTTTCTTCACGTCGCTTCCCATTTTTGTCTATGGCATATTTGAGCAGAATGTCAACGGTGACGCATTACAAAGTCAGCCGCACTTATACAGGTTCTGTATGCAAATATTTGTTGGTAATACTTTTCTTCATTGTCATCAAATACCCTCCTAGCTGTTTTAAATTGTTACCCCTAGAACCATAAAGCATACCTAAACTATTGAAGAACCAATTGATTTAAATTCGAATTTTATCAACCTATACCTGTTTTCACGATAATAAAATGTTTGAAGTCATTGTTTCATTTTGTTCTGTGATTGGTTTGTATTGTTTATTGTTATTTTTTTTCCGTTGGTACACTGTGAATATGTTAATGAAGAAACTTTTGAAACCATGAAACAAACTAAAAGAACGGCAGATTGACAACTGGTAATCGAATGTAGTAGCCTCCTGCCAGTTTTACGAGTTCTTATCAAAATTAAACATTTCCTTTTTTCCTTAGGGATTTAAGTAAGAATTATCGCTTATCATGGACAGAATTCTTCTTTTGGGTAATGTCTGGTGAGTTGTTTTAGGTTTACATTTTCTGCGTACTTATTTTCTGTATCTTTGGTTTTGTTTTTTTCTCTTTTTTTTCCCTCTCTTACTGATTATACTGAGTAATGGTTGTGTTTTTATCGTAAGGTTATTGGCACGCATTAGTATTCTTTTTTGGATCGTACTTCTTCTTTCAAGGCGACGCAATAGGACCTGCCATGTTGGTAAGATATTTGTCGTACGTTCAATTTTACCGTCTTCGACTAGAAATCGAAATCTGTCTTGGTTAGCTGCAATACAATATGAGATATATTTTCAAATGTAGCTCACTCCACTAATCAAATGAAAGGTGTAATGCACTATGAGCTAAGATGTCACCCAACTTTTCCCCTTGTCCTGTGGAGGTCGACATAGTGTAATCACCACTGTTTGATTGATACTTTGTAAGTAGGTCTGTGGTTCTTTTCCTCTTTCAAATGAAAGAAGCAAATATCTTTACTGCTTAGTTACATTCAATAAGTGAAGAAGCATCGTATTCCTCTTTTTTTCTTTCCCCAGCAATATGGGAACTGGTCATTTGGAACGTTTGTGTTTACTGTTTGCGTCATAGTCAGTAATCTCAAGGTAAGTACTCAGTGTTTTAGTAGAAAGAAAGAATCATTCGGAAACAACTTCATGCAACTGTCGCCAGTCACGCATTAATAAATAAACGTCGTCATGATTACAGATGTTATTTACATTTCAGCTGGCACTGGTTACACATTACTGGACATGGATGACTCACGTTTCTACATGGGGCTCCATCATTCTGTTCTTCGTGTCCACCATCACATATAATAGTGAGACTTGGTAAGTACACAGAACATAATTTTTACCCGTTGAGAACTTAAGTGTACGTATCCATATTGCACCGACTGTTCGTGGACTGTTGGCATATTTCAAAAAAAAAAAAACTGCTATACAGAATTATGTGTACGTTTTAGAAAGTGCACTGACTGTTCATGGACTGTTGACTTATTCCAAGATATAATTTCTGCTATACAGAATTAAGTATATGTTTTAGAAAGTGCACTGACATGTTCATGGACTGTTGGCATATTCCAAGAAAACATTTCTGCAATACAGAATTAATTATATGTTTTAGGCATGAGTAAAGCTTCTTAGTGCCCCGTCACCAAACTTCATCATGATAATCACCGATTATTCCGGTCAAAGTACTGTTGTGTGATCATGCGGGTACAATTGTACAGGATACCATTTTGAAGGAGCTGTATCAGTGTGTTTGATACGCCAAATGTACACGTTTCTGGACTAACCATAGGATCCAACCATTAATATTGCTTTTCAGGAAGGGTTTCCAGCTAGCATTCAGTGACGCGATATCATTAGACATGTACAAATTATTCTACCAACTGCTGTCCCAAGGAGTGGTATGGCTGGCCATATTATTACTCATCTTCATGGCTCTTTTACCTGATATCTTCTTCATGCTCGTTGGTCGACAATTTTATCCTTCAGAGACACAAAGAGTACAGGTGATTGTTATCCCATTTTTTCTGTTTAGTCTTAAGGATTTCTTTATATGTGTTAATGGGAAGCTTTGTTATTAATCCTAAGTGAGTTGGATTGCTTGGGAAAGGTGTGTCAAGCATCTTCCTCAACTGACAAATATCAACTCGAGTTGTTTCGTAACAGAGACACAAGCGAGCGGTTTTACTTTTTCCTATTTTTCCATTATCTTTGGAATGTGGACAAAGGATCCATTTTTTTTCATTTTAGCGACGAGTCCTTGTGGTGAAGTCCGTATCTTGCTTCATCATAAAAGACGCTAATGACCCGAAAAACTCATTCTTTCTCATCCCGACGCACATGAACAGTTTCTCAGTTCTGTCTGTTGTCCTTCTTTAAAAAAACCCGCTACTGCAACTGAAAATCTGTCAACAATTCGCACATTCTGAATGGGATGCTACATCTGTAAACTAATCTGCAAATACCACTTCGTTAAAACTTGATATGTAACATAAAGTTTATTGCAAAACCTAAAAAGATGATGGTTTTCTTTTCGTTGGTTCACTTAAACCGATCAGTTGTCCGCAACCTAAAAATTAAACCAGCCAGTTAGGCAGGTAAATCGGCACCAATGTCAACTGCTCAATGTGAACAGTCGTGTCATTTGCCTGGAGACTTTCTGTTTCAAGCTATAGTCATTCGTATCAAAACATCATTTAAGTTCATGGACAGATCGTACAATATTTTGTTTTGTCGAACCAAACCGTTGTCCAATGTGCGTGGTCTGACGAGTATCTCTCATTGGATAACTTCAATCTCGGACAACACATCAATGCAGGTAGAGTTCTTTTCCAGCTTTTAGTAGTCTTTCACTTTAAAGGAAAACGCACTAGGTGTAGCGAATAATTAACTAATACTTTTCCCTTTTTTACACATCTTTCAACGATGTAAATTTGATCTGAAACCTGTGGCCATCGACCGCGCGTAATTGCACCTGAAATCACTACATTGAGTTGCACATAGTTCTCTATCACATTTAGCGCTTTTTTTCTTAGTTCAAGATTTTTGTTTTCAGGTTGATACCGGAAGACAGGATAGGGCGGTACTTACAAGCAGTGTGGATGTTGGCACAGTATCGTCTGTGGCACCAGAGTTCTCTACTGAAAGCGACGTGTCATTGATCGCATTTACTAGTAGCAATAATTCAGATTTGCAGCAAGCTTAAGAACTTTTTGAGCTAGTTATTGGATTATTTTTCAGTAAATTTTACAATTTAGTGAATTTAGACTGTTTTAATGATAAATTAATCGTATGAGATTGTGTGAGTTAAAATCTAGACCGGTGCTTTCTTGAGTAAATAAGATACTAAAAATAATTTTAAAATATAGTGAGATGATATGAAGATGAAATAGCTCAGGAAATTACATAGAATATCTAAATTTGTAGAAGATGATCACTCGTGAATATAACTTTGTCTTTGTTCAGAAAGTACTTAAACATTACAAAGAGAATTTTGAAAATAAACTTTAGAATGAATTGAGTACTTATTTTGTTAGTTTGGACGACATACCCAAGGGAAGGTTGACGTGCTCAAATTGGTATTATTCTAAACCACTCCTACTTTTGTTAACTTTTCACATTTAAAATGAGACAGTTGTTATGGTCAACCGAAAGGAAGATTCTTGTCAGTGCCATTGACATGTAAACCCCAGAATTATATGAGTTTCGTTTGCATAGCACTTCTTAAGAGGGTTTTAGCTTTTTTTTTTTCTTTTCAGTGCGACCTCTTTCTTTTAGAAAGTGGTTGATAGAGAGGTACAGAATATAGTGCAATCAGCATTTTACTTTTCATTCCTATTCCCTCTGCGTTTTTTTTTTTTTTTTTGCTTTATTTCGTTTTGCTTGCTTCTGTTTGGGTATTTTTTTAAACTTGCACTTCTGTTGTAATGACGTTGCTTTTGTGTAACTGATCATTCTTTCTATCAAGGCGCAGGGCCAAAGACGAGCTGTTGTCAGTAATTACTTTAATGCAATATGTCCTGAGGAGAGTATCCGGGACAACTAGTAAGTCGAGCATGGCAGCTGATGAAACCAGCGAAATAATTGGTTATCTATTGCTTTACTTCACCGTCTATCTGTACATTCAAGAGGTACATTAATGCAAGTGCTGCGCTTTGGCCCTGCCCTCTAACAAGCAGGATCTATTCTTTGGCTCTTTCATCTATTACTAGAGCTGATTTGCTAATCATTAATCATTTGGTTTTGGTTACTTTGCTTTTTTTTTTTTTTAAGAAAAAAACAACCACGAACACTCTTTTTCACTGAATGTCCTACCGAATAAATTGTTTTTCTCTGTGAATCTATCTGATGTCTACATGAGCACCATCACCCAGAATTTTTATAACCGTTGTGATTTGTAAAGTGTCTGTGTTCGTGTGTAAGTTGCACTTTTTATATAGGTGAGTTCTTCGCGTTTTCCGATAATTCAAATCTCTCACTTTATTTGTAGGTGAGAGTGATTCATTCTCTGGAGACGTGGCTGTAGCTGCTGCTGCTTCTCAGCTGCTGTTCTTCTTCTCACTTACTGTGGATATCCTTACCTTTCACTGGAGTGCAGTCATCTTTCACTCATATATTCTCACTTAGTTGCCGTTTTAACTTTGTTTTCAAAACAAAGTTAAAACAGTTTGCTCTAGCGAAGGAACGTATTTCTTTTGATTTCTTTAAACAACTTCCCACGATCCCAGTAGGATAAATGCAACTGATCCATTCTCTTTCGTTTCCTCAATCAGGAACATAATTCTCAACTCGAAGCTCTTCTTCCTTGACTTTCTCTTTTCTTCTTTTTCATTTTGAATGAGACGAGAAAATCAGATGCAGACAGGTTAAGGGGTCAGTTTTTTATTTAATTAGTTATTAGTTAGCTTGTGAGCTCTGAAACATATAGAAAATTTGCAATGAAAATGCCGTTGATCATAACAACAAGTAAGCAGACTCAGATGAACCAATCAGGCTTGTCTAAAATCACGCAAAGAAGGTTACTTCGTCCTGAAAAGTGAGGAGAGATAGATGGCAAATTTTACTTACTTTCAAACAGATACGATGAAACATTGAGAGTAACTAGGGGTCTTCTCATTGTACGATCAATGTTTCTTTTGTAGATTTGAGGCTAGAAACAAAATAACTAGGAACGACGAAATCTGGTGTTGGTGCACAATTTCACTTGTTTTTAACCAGTTTTTAGTGTAACGTAATTTGTGAGGTGATGTAAATTTTTTTCAACTGGTATGATGCCACAGTTGACGAAAATTATTGTACTTAAGTCTAAAATCTGAATGGAGAAACGTATGTCATTATTTATGGTTCAAATAAAATGTTTCTGAATGTAAGAAACGCATCCATTTATTTTTAGTAGTTGAAGGCTATTCGTGTAACATTTGCAGAATTTAACCTAATTCTTTTACACGCTTCCAATAGGTCGAGTACTCTAATAAGCTTGTGAATAAACATGAAAGTTTCACCTGACCCTATGACTTTGAGTTCCTCTCTTGTTTATCCACACTACGGTGTTAACTACAGCACAAATCACATCTTAACAAGACATGCTCCAGCATTTGCATCAGGACTATATTGGGTTTAGCAGGGTTTCACTAAAAGCCGGTTAACGGTGGGCAACCTCCCCCCCTCACTCTATAAAGACTCTTATCACCGTCTTCCAAGCACAGCCACCGAGGGAAACACTGTTCAGTGTCGCCGAACAGTATTTTAACAATGTTGAGTGAAATACTCGTAACTTCAACCAATCTTTATTACTCTTATTCAACTTTCTTAAATCCAACACTTGTGGTTAATGACTACAATTTCCCTTTTTTCGGCAAAGGTTGGTATTCTAGGAATGACGAAACATTCAGAGTGAAACAAAGCAATTGCACGGGTGCGGATCTTTTCCCCCTCTCGCTTTAGTTACTCTCCCCATTCTTTCCTCTGCTCCCCCCTCCCCCTCACCCTCTCTCCTTCCCCGTCTTTGGTAATGGAAAGTAGACTTTCGACACGTAAATTTTAAGACTTGTTTGTTTTAAAGAAATTAAAGTTTCTCAGAATCAGACGAGATGGTCGATTTTCTCGAAGGAAAGTCATGAATGTGTGTTGTTAGAATCATTTGATTATAAATGTAAAATTAATCACCAACTAAATTGCAAAGCTGGAACCTCCCGAATGCAATGTAAATTAGCAATTGTTTACCGACGTGTAGATGAGTAGTGATGGATATCTACCTTTTTCCACCGACTCTGAGGTGAACAATTTTTATTGTATACACCTCGCATGCTGAATAAGCTTCGAAAACTGACTTCACTTTCGTCAATTTTTGACATATGGTTGGTCATTAAAATCTTCAGGCTCATTCGCCACTAGAATGTTTCTTTCCACAAAAAAATCCAGTCTTCCTTTCCTGTGGATAAGCAAAATTTCTTAATGCTCCTGCTCAAGTGCCTGTGTACTATTTCTCAATGTGGTTTTCGCATCTCTTTGAGACATTTTGTAACCCCACCCCTGACGCTGCTGAACGTTAGATGTCTGTTCTCTCCCTTCGATAGACTTTAATTTTTCACCCTAGATTTTGAGGTTGGAAAGCTGAAATAACTCACCATTTAATGCCGTCAAACCAGGCTTCGTTGCAGTTTTTGTATTTTATGTAACAAAATAGAAAATACGTCATTAACAGCAACGAGACGGGAAGTAATTTTGTGTTTCTTCGCCTGCTCAGTAGTGTAACGTGCTTTGCTTATCACCTCCCAGTAAGCCAATCGACGTGTGTCAAAAGATAAATGCCAATAAACTAAATATTATTTTTTCTTTGTCTTTCTCAGGCTGATCGTTGTCCAGCAAACAAACACAAAAAGAGTTCAGTGGCTAACTGTAGTGAAACAAGCAACAACAAAACATGTGAATCAATGGTGATACTCGACTATGAGCAGGGAAGTACTGTCACGCTCACCAGTGTGAAGCAGTAACCAGCTGCTGGTTACTTTTTGTCAACTGTACTTCAAACACAGCCGCTTTTCGCGTAAATCCACCAGCCGAGCAAGAGCTTGGTCTAGGGTTCATGGGGAGGGAGGACGAAACACATATTAGAACCTTACATACACGTCATATTTACTTCTTAAGCAAAGGTTTTCACCGAAAACATGAAGTTAGGTAGCTAATTTTACTTAAAAGTAGCTACACTCATGTTGATCAGTCTAATCGAATAAAAGTGCAATAAAGCCTTAGTTCCTAGAGCACCGATAGTTTTTTAAATAAATTGATTCGCACTTAGGAAAAAAACATTAAGTAGGTAATTTCATCTTTTGTTGCACCCATTTTGAAATCATTGGTGGTCCCTGTAATGTGATTGGCTCTAATTGATGCAATTTACTCACGAATCACACCAATTTTTGCTTGAAATCGCATCTTTTTCTCAGCTAATGAGGAGGCTACACTAAAAACACAACCACCAATCAGATTTCAAGGCTTGTTTAAAGTAACCAATCAAATTGCAGGAAAATGAACGACAAAGAGTATATCATGTGGCAAATTTTGCAACTTTTGTTTCCAAACTCTTACTTTTTCCCCCCAAAAATGGATGAATTAATTTCAGACCGGCTCAGTACTGCATCAATAAAATATTTGAACTTACCAAGTACTGTATTTGGGCGATTTCAAAATGGATGTAACAAAGTGGTAATTGAACCTCGTGTCGTGCAATTTTGGTCTGAAATCATACTTGTGATTTCAAATCACGCGTATGATTTCTGCCCAAATTGCATTCCACTCAGTTCAATTTCCATTATTAATATGCTCCAAATCTTCGTCACAGTAAACGTTTGACAAGTTTTAGAGGAGTTCTAGATTACACCAACAAAGTAAGGTTCTGTATAAAACAGTGAAAACTTCGAAGGTGGCTGAAATTAGATTTTGAAGTTAAGTATTGCTAACCCACACTTTATCCAACTGGTTTCCTTTATATCTCCTTCTACCTTCTTTTTATTTGTTATTCACACCCTTCCCTCTATAGAGCAAAACTTTTACCGGACTCAACATTGCAAGGCCGTGAATTGTTGTAAATCTTGATAACTAGGATCGCGTTTGAATTATAGTTATCAACAAGAAAGGATAAGGCCATCATTGATTTTGGAATATGTATGTGAACGAAAACAACAACTTGGCTTTCCATTTATTTATAAAATACAATTGATGAACCGATAAGAATAATAGGGATTGTATTTATATAACTTAATTAGAAAATAGCTGCATTTTTTATACATATTCCCTTCAAAATGAGGTAAACACTGTTATAAAACATAATTTAAGCAAAGTTGAATCATTAAAGCCCTGTTTTGTCAATTTATGGCGTACAATCAGTTTTGTTTCCGCATACACGCTTACGAAATATCAAGGGGCAAGTTAATCAAGGTTACTCAAAAATTGCTCGTTTACTCGTAAACAATAAATAGAAAGAAGAGATTGTAAGAAAGCTGATTTCGGAAAGTCACTGTACGC